CCCAGCCCCAGCCAGAAGTTCCTCCTACCTAGATGCAGTCTAAGGTTGTATATTTGTCTCTGCAGCTCTGGGCACTAGGCCAGCAGACACCAGGGAAAGAGAAATGATTAGTATACTCAGGCCTCCTCTCCCCTCAACGGCCTCCTCCCCTCCCTACCACTGGGGCTACACTGGCATGGGCTCCTCAGTGGAGAACGGAGGCACGCTCCCTCCTTGAGGTGCGGGATGATGGTGGTGGTGGTGGTGGTGGTGTGGGGAGGGGGGACAGAAACATATCGGTTTAATCTGGACACGGATCCCATCGTCTAGCTTGGGCCTGTATTCCTAGGAGCCGGGGGAAGCATTACCTGAGGACAACCCTCTGCTCCAGGTGGTTGCTGCTGCCTTTCCCGCGTTGGGGGATGTCCAAGTGGTTCCTGGTCACCTGAGAGGGAAAGAACTCAAAACCCAGCTTCCAAAGCTCCCAGGGAGGTGGAAAGGGCTTAGCGGGGTCTAATGTGAGGCAGCACCACCCTCTGCTGGCAACAAGTTGCCCCTACTCTGCCCAGTAGCTCCACCCTTCTCTCTGGGCTTGCCTCCCCTGTTCCCCAGAGGCAGCCCACCCACGACTGTGGTCCCCAACACTGTGTGCGGCTCTGGGTTGGACGCTCGCAGAGCTGCAGCCAAAACCAGCCCCTGGGACGAGCCCAGGGGCCCAACAGGACTTATCAGAAAAGGCCCTGTTCTGCGCTGAAACTCTCTGTCTGGAGTTGCAGTTTGGGGCACGGCCGCGAATCACCCCTACGCACAAAACCCCACGCAGAGGATGAAGTGACTTGAGTCCAGCCCTGTCAACACCCGCTTTCCTGTGGTTTGAGAAGCTGTCTGGGTAGGCGGCTAGGCAGGGAGGCAGAGAGGCAGGGAGGCAGGGAGCAAGGCTGAGCCCCAGCCGGAGCCGGAGCCGGAGCCGGAGCTGGAGCCGGAGCCGGAGCCGGAGCCGGAGCCGGAGCCGGAGCCGGAGCCGGAGGTTCCCTCCTCATCCCCTCTCCCCTCCAGTCCCAGCAAACCCACCGGACTCACTGGAGGGTGTGGGCCCTCTGGGCAAGCCTTCTCCCTGGCTCAGAGCCAAGGGCTGTGAGTGTCCTGGCATCCGGGCGGCTCTGTTGTTGCCGTCGCCACTGTTGCATTCTCGACATGATGGCCCTGGACTGTGTGTCGGAGGCTAAAAGAAAAAGTTCTCACTTATTCGGACTCGGGATGTGTGCGTGTGCGTGTGCTTAGGGGCTGGAGTGAGGCAGGGAATAGGGAAGGCAGTTCCGAGGCTGATCACATCAGCACTTTCTCCCTCAGTCAGCCCCAGGTCAGGAGGCCAGGCCGAGCTAGAGAGAACAATGGGGCCCTGCGAATGCCCAGGCCCCCTGCAAGGACGGCTTGGGGAGCAGCTAGCAAGTAGGAGTCATGGAGCTGATGGTTCTAAACATTGAAGCTTTGGGGCCCAAACTTCTAAGGGGTCTTCCGGTCCAAATCAGCTGTCCCAGCCCTCCCTTCCACCCCAGTGGGGAAGCTTGCCAGTTGTGGAGATTGTTGCCCGGCACGCACAGGAGTGCTATCTTAGGGTTTGCCCTGGCTAAAACCACCCAGGTCTGGCATCCTAATGACCCAGGGTGCCCAATGACAAGCCCTGAGAAAGGGACAGAAGGAGCACAGATAGAGAAGTGCAGGGCTGGGGCAAAGGCTAGGTGGGGAGCGGGGAGGAGCATGGCCTCATACTCACTGGGACATTTGGGCCTGGCTCTCTCTTCGGTTCCTTATCTTCTACCATGACTGGCAGGGACTCCCTCTTCCTCCTGGCCANGTTCCCTCCTCATCCCCTCTCCCCTCCAGTCCCAGCAAACCCACCGGACTCACTGGAGGGTGTGGGCCCTCTGGGCAAGCCTTCTCCCTGGCTCAGAGCCAAGGGCTGTGAGTGTCCTGGCATCCGGGCGGCTCTGTTGTTGCCGTCGCCACTGTTGCATTCTCGACATGATGGCCCTGGACTGTGTGTCGGAGGCTAAAAGAAAAAGTTCTCACTTATTCGGACTCGGGATGTGTGCGTGTGCGTGTGCTTAGGGGCTGGAGTGAGGCAGGGAATAGGGAAGGCAGTTCCGAGGCTGATCACATCAGCACTTTCTCCCTCAGTCAGCCCCAGGTCAGGAGGCCAGGCCGAGCTAGAGAGAACAATGGGGCCCTGCGAATGCCCAGGCCCCCTGCAAGGACGGCTTGGGGAGCAGCTAGCAAGTAGGAGTCATGGAGCTGATGGTTCTAAACATTGAAGCTTTGGGGCCCAAACTTCTAAGGGGTCTTCCGGTCCAAATCAGCTGTCCCAGCCCTCCCTTCCACCCCAGTGGGGAAGCTTGCCAGTTGTGGAGATTGTTGCCCGGCACGCACAGGAGTGCTATCTTAGGGTTTGCCCTGGCTAAAACCACCCAGGTCTGGCATCCTAATGACCCAGGGTGCCCAATGACAAGCCCTGAGAAAGGGACAGAAGGAGCACAGATAGAGAAGTGCAGGGCTGGGGCAAAGGCTAGGTGGGGAGCGGGGAGGAGCATGGCCTCATACTCACTGGGACATTTGGGCCTGGCTCTCTCTTCGGTTCCTTATCTTCTACCATGACTGGCAGGGACTCCCTCTTCCTCCTGGCCACAGACTTCTGCCCAGCGCCAGTGTGCTTGGACCGTTTGGTTCCCAAAGGGACCAAGGAGTACCTCTTGCCCCTCCCAAGCAGTGGAATACCAGAGATTGGGGGGAAGGTGGCTGGTTCCAGGGGAGCTGCTGAGACACTCTGCCCCCAGGAAGGAAAGGTACTCAGGAGGGCAACTTTGGAGGCCCCCCCTAGGAATTTCTTCTCGACCACTTTCCTTCCAAGAGTGACCTTGGGCAGGCTGACTGCAGCAGCAGCAGCTCCCGGCAGGTAGCTGGACCTGCTCCCCGCCTTCCCCCAGACCACACTGTGGGGTTTCTTAGAGGACACGTCCAGCTCCCCAACAGCCTGCCTTTCCCCGACCGAAGCGAGTGGTCGGGGAGCGGAGTGCAGGAAAGAGCCTGGCACGCGAAGGAACTTCTCCCGGACATGGGTAATCGAGTGTCTGGGTGTGCCCTGTGGGCTCTTGGGTTTGGCCTGGCCTCTGCCCTTGCGACAGATGCTCACCCTCATCAGCTGCATCTCACCGAACTCATCTGATGACTCGGAGTCGGAAGGCGAGCCGACCAGGCCTTCCGCAGAGGACCGCTGGCGACCCACGGTGACTTCCGACCTATTCTTAGCACCTCTTTTCGGGTTTCCCCAGGCTCGGCCTCCCTCAGGCCCCCTGAGGTGCAACGAGGGGGCGGAAGGCAGCGGCGATCCCACCAAATCATGGGCCTGCGCGCCTCTACCACTGGGACCTGACTGTAAGTCCACCCAAAGGGTGGACACTTCAGAGTCGCAGCTCTCTGGGGAGGGGTTTCTGCGGACACCCAAGTCATCCCGGTCGGTCAGCTGCTGCAGGATGGCCATCGCGGCCTCACCGCCAAGGTAGTCCAGAGTGTCCCCGTCGACGTCGGCCGGAGAGCCAGGTCGGCCTTCGCGACCCCAGAGCACCCCCCTTCCCGCTTCCATCACTTCCTGCTCCTCCTCGAAGCCCTCGGGGTCTGGGAACCCGCTCTCGCCCTGGCTGCTCAGCGGCACCCCCAAAGCATGGCCTAGTCCTCCGGCCTGCTCCCCGCCCTCTGCGTCGACCCCTGTTCTCCAAACGGACCCCTCATCCTCGTCGGGGGAGCTCATGTCGCCAAGTCCCGACAGCCCAGGTACGGGGTAGACGATCGCCCTGGGCACGGTGGCAGCGGGACCGCCGAGGCCTTCTGAGGGAGCCCACTGTCACCTCACGACAGGCAGCTCACGAGTTGGCCTCCAAGAGCGCGAGACTAACTGGCGCCTTCGACGCCGCGCCTTGGCCTTCTCATTGGCGCGCTTCCCACCGTCAATCAGTGCTTCCCTTCTAGGCCCGCCCCCCGAGGCCCTAGCCAATAGGGTGGAGGCCTCTGGTTGGTCCAGAATCCCAACGCCTCAGCGGCCCTTGGAAGCCAATCTGGCGGAGGAGTGCAGTAGTTCGGGCTCTCCTTCCGTCACTTCCTGTCCGACCTCCCCTGGCCAGGTACCTACTTTCCAACTAGAGTCAAAGCACGAGCCTCTGTACAAAAGGGGGGAGATGACGCGGCCTCACCGCCAAGGTAGTCCAGAGTGTCCCATGTACAAAGCGGGGAGATGACGGCACCTGTCGGGGTGGGCGGAGGGGTTGTGAGGTGGCGGGTCAGGATGGAGGTGAAAGGTCAGGGTGGAGGTGAAGCAACAGCCACTCTTCCACAACAAGACTTACGACCCAATAAGCAAATGGACACCAGAGCACGCGGTCAACCGTGGGGTCTACGTACTTTTTCCTCAGAGGGCCAGGGGAGCAAAAGAGTTGTCGTATTGTATTTACGGGCTGTAGGGTCTCTGTCGCAACTCCACTACTGTCATGAGGCGTGATCAAATCTGCCCGTGGCTGTGTGCTCGGGGAACTTTATTGGCCAGCCTGTTTGGCGGAAGGGCTGGGGTTTGCTCCCCTCCCTCAGCCCCGCCCCCACTCTGAGTGAATTTAAAGAAGAGGGACTGCCCATGACCAGTGCACACCCCAAAAGATGCTCACCATCACAGATCCTAGAGATACGGACTAAGACCATAAGTCAATTTTCACACACCAGGTCTGCAACAATCAAAGGGCTTAGCTATGCCAAGGGTAGGAGAGGTTATGAACAAGCTCGTGCTTGGCACACTGCTGAAGGGGTGGGGGTGGGGGTGAGGGGAAATGGTGGCCTGTGCAGCAGCACAGAAGAACCATTTGGAAAGATAATTGGGCAAAATCCAGGAAAAGCAACTTATACAACACGTACACTATGTGCCTGGCACTCTTCTAAGCGCTGCAGATAAATAGTAACACATCCTCACGACAATCCTAGGATTGAAGTACCCACCACTACCTCCCTCTTACAGGTGAAGAAACAGGCACTGAGAGGTTCAGCCACTGGCCCAAGGTCATTCGGCTTGTAGCGATCAGCGGCAGGACTGAAACCAAGACAGTCCCGCTCCAGATCCCTTGCTTAGAGCAGAAAACCTTAAAAATGAAAAAGCGCCCATCCCCTCTAGACCAGGCAGGCCCTCTGCCGGGTACATCTTCTGGAGACACGCTGGTGCGTGTAGTGTATCAGGACACATGCTCAAGGGTGTTGGTGATGGGAAAATCTGGGAGCACTCTAAATTCCCCTCAGGAAGGAAATGGATGAATGCAACTGGTGTATGCATCCGGTAGATTAAGACGCCCCAGTCAAAACGCATGAGGCCCTGTTCACAAATTTCAAAAACACACAGCAAGTTGCAGAGCAATGGCATTGCATACACATTCGTAATTTTTTTTTAAAACTAGTCAGTCCCATATAAGGTCCGAGAATACATATAGGTGTACGTGCAGACATGTTTTAAAGGTCTGGAAGGATGCACAGCCAACGCTTGCCAGTGGGCGGGTGCGACAGGGCGCCAGCTGTCTCTCAAATTTTCCTGAACTGCCTGCTTCCAGCTTCCCTGAGCTGAGCACTCCTGGCCCTCCCTTGGTTTCTATAGGGCCCTGGAGTGTTCGAATTTCCACTTGCTTGCCACCCGACCCCTACTCCAACAGTCCTCCTCCATTCCTTCCACACCTTCTTCCTCTGTTTCCCATTCATACTCCTCTGTCTTCCCAGTCGCCTCTCCCACCAGCATCTTACTCTGGCTGATCTCCAAGAGAGGCCTGGGGTGTCTGAACAGCTCTTGCTGGAGGGCACGCAAAGGTCCAACTTTTCTGGGTCTGGTGGAGAAGGTTATGGAGCAGGAAGGTTGGGTACACTCTAAATCTTTGATCCTCCTCCTCCAGTGTGCCCCCCACAATCCCTGCCTGTGTGCGGATAACGCCCTCTCCCACTTCTCCCAGTGACTCTTCAAGACATGGTGTGCTATTTCCGACGTGCTAAAATGGACAACGAAGGCTATAGCAAAATCTTCTGTACCCACCACAGTCCTAGGAAACATTACCCATCCATCCAGTGGAAGCCTCGAGCACCCTTCTGGCCGTTTCCATTTCTTCCCTCCCTCTCTCCTCCCCTCTCTCCCCCACAGGGAGCATCCTAGAACTTCTTCACACCTCCTCCACTTTCTTCATCCCTGGGGCTCTACTGTCTCCTGTTTCCCTGCATTTCATAGGTCCCCAATAGTGTCACTCATCTGCTAACCGCCTTCACCCCTGTGCTCACCGGTATCCCAATTTTTGGTTTTGACCTACTATCTTGGCCTGGGGTGGGACCAGTATCGGAGGATTCACTTGGCCTTCCCCACCATGATAGCTCTTACCCCACAGACCAATGACCCTGTGGGATTCACTGCTCCAACTGCCAAGTGTATCACTTGCAATTATCAACTTGGGGGCTGGAGAAACTACCACTGTGTTGATCCAAGGACCTGGTCGGCTCACTGTGAACCAAACTCTATTCCTAACTTTTTTTTTTTATTACCAGCGCCTCATAAGCCCATCTCTAACACACACACACACACACAC